ACAAGAAGACTATCATTGATCATGCTATCGGGTTGAAGGTAATTAAATAGAAGCAGTTGTCATACCCCAAATTTTGTCCAATCCTCTTTTATAACTTTTAAAAGCTTTTTCTTTCAAATTAGTCATCTAACTTAGTTGGTAGTGTGGTGAGGATGTTAAGCATGGGTTCTTGGGTTTGAATTCTACCAAGCACTTGTTCTTGTATTCTTTTTCTACATTTTCTCATTATCTATTTTTATTTTCTTATTATTGTTATTATTATTTTCATTATTATTAGTAGTAGTTCAATTTATTATTATTATTATTATTATTATTATTATTATTATTATTATTATTATTATTATTATTATTATTATTATTACTATTATTATTATTATTAGTATATTAGTGTTGTCAATTATAAAAAATCAAAAATATTTGTTTTATTATTATTTCATTATTATTATTATTATAAAAAACAAAAAACTATTGTTATTATGGTTGTTATTATCATTATCATAAGATCTAAATTACCCAAATCAACACACATACCATTTCATTCTAGATCACACAATTAGATCCCAAAATTCTAAAAACATTACACAATTACTCCCTTAAATCCATTCATTCCATGTCATCTTCCAAATTTTCAAAAAAAAAAAAAATCAAATAAAAAGGAGAAGAAATCATTTGTTACAATTTTAACTTTCTAAATGGGATCAAAAATTCAATTCCCAAATTAAGGCCATAAACTTATAAATTCAAAAGAAAAATCATGGGAAGGGAATTCAGACAATTGTAATATCCAAACGCCTGAAAAAATCACAACAAAAATTTCACACTGATAGCCATAACAAAAGAACAACCAAACTTACAATAGATTTATACACTCATAACACGTGAAAGAAAAAGAGAAAATCTGAGACCCTCAAACATGGATACACTTACACAAACAACACAATAAAAACCAAGAAAACCAACAACCAACATCTAAATATGGGTAGAGTAGGGTGTTACATGTTCACTTTCAGATTTTCAAATGTGATCATTGTGTGTTTTCCATTATACATGTTTATAGTGACCTTTTTCTAAATGTCTTCACATTTGATCTATATATTTTATACATTTGCATGTTTGCACGTTACTGGCTAGCAATCCATAGAAAATAATCATAGGCATGTGTCTCTCATCAATTAGTTATGCATAAGTCAAGTTGAGTTCCTCAAAGTCACTAAAAATACACATATGTCGAAGTCTTTCAAATTTTAGACCTTATAGGTCAACTCATAAGGCATATAGGTAGGCGCATAAAATTAATTTTTGTTACTTTTCAAAATTGTTATAATATGTGTCGACGCATGCTCAAATAGGTCGACACATAAGATAATTGAAATATTCTGGCACATGCAATACATGATGTGGAATCTGATGTTCTACCATCAGGGTACAATGTCATGACTGATGTTGTAACATCTGCAAACTAACAAAATAATTTATCCAACCATTTAAATTGTGCAGAATTTTAAATGTAGAAAGATAAATAACACAAAGAATTGTTAACCCAGTTCAGTATACAACAACACATACGTTTGGGGGCTACCAAGACAGAAAGGAAATCCACTATTAGTAGTATCAATTCATAGTTAAACTCTCTCGTTTATAACCCCTCACTTAATTCCTACCCATGCAACTTCTATCTAAGAACTCCTAGATATGAGAAATAACCATCTCACTCCCCATAATCATCTCAGTGATAAACCAACACTCACAGTCCCAGGGAATGCCACGAGAAACCAAAAAGAAAGATGCACGTACCCTCTTTCTTTCAAGAACAACACTAAGTCAAGACTCTTGACCAAGAACAATACTCAGTTTTGCTTAAAAGCTTCAACCAAGAACAATATACAATTTAAATATGTTTATCACGATGCATCAAATGATACAAATGGTGACTTATAAAGTAACACACACAAGAGGCTCTCAAAACCTAAGTTTCTAAAAACTTCCCCTAGTTTTTTACAATAGTGAAAACTGTCATTTACATTAGGGTAGGATTCCCTTTTAAATACATCTTTATAGTCTATGGGCTTTGAAATCTGCGTACAGAAGTTTCTTGATCCACAAGCTGAGAGATGCACTAAAATCTCCTTAAATCTTGGAACAAAAGATACAAATTTCCCTAAATCGTCTCAAGGCCCAATTTAGTAACATCTACACCGTTGGAGATACAAAACTTGTTTCAAATACAATCTTTCTGACTCTCAAAATATGTGAGATAATTCCAAAAAGAATCTTCACAAAATCAAAACAAATATTGTCAAGAATTAAAACAAACAAAACAATGTTCTGGTATAACATGTTCCAACATCTATTATGACATATGCTCTCAAGGTGAGCTGAGCAGCATGTTACAATATCATACACGACATCCTGTAGTGAACCGTGTTTTAGCAAAATTGTTGTCAATCTTTAAACCATGGAACCTACAATAATTTTCTGAATTCTTTTGATTTTGCTTCAGTATGCGTCAACTCATAATATTCATAGGTCGGCTTATATTCAAAGGTCGGATCATGATGTATTGAATTACTTTTCACATGATTTTGCATTCATTTCTCACTCATGCACTTGTCTCCAATACTGAATCTCCTAGAAGATAGAGAGTGATCATGATCAATTGCATGCATATCTGTGACGTAACATTTTGTTGTAAAGTGGTCATAATGACCAAAGAATAATAATTAAATAGTAAGACATTTCGTCGATGAGACGTGTGTAGACTGGGAAAAATGTGTCAAAGGGTTACAAAAAATGCCACCTTTCTTTCATGTAACTATATGATCAAAAGTGGCATTTTTGGGGGCATCTGTTAGCCTGGAATTTCTACTTTGGAAAAATTCAATTGAATGTTGAATTGGGAAATGCTAAGTGTTAGCATTTGAGTGAAATAATTCAGATAGAATGGGTACGACGATTGGAGCATTCCAACTGGAATTTTAAACTATGGTTTGGAAGAATCTCAAGAGCATATCTCGAGATATGGTTTGGAGGAGTCTCAGGTACAGATCTGAGTGATCACTTGACACCATGTCGAGGTCGAAGCGTTCGAAGAGCTCCAAAGAGTTAGAAGATTGGGGAAAGCAAATACTAAAGAATGGGCTTAGTGTTATTAGCAACTACCTTTGACGAGCAGGAAATTACTAGTCGCTAAGAGTAGTTCATAACGTGGGATAATGGTTTTTCAGCAGTTTTTAAGTATTGATGATGTGGTAGTACATCAGAAGATTAAGTTGTGTGTCTTTGAAGACATGTCGATTTCTTTAAGAGGGAGCTGTCGGAGAGGGTTATCTTTAGTTTAGTATATATAGCAGTTTCATATGTTGTAATCAAGGTCGCAAAATTCATATACTTTCTCTATAGAACTGGAGTACTCAAGCTAAAGTACAAAACACTTTGTGAGTAACATGTTAGTTTGCGTCTCTTTTATTGAATTATCTTTATGTTTCTTTAATTGAAACATCTTTATTTTTGTCATTTACTATATTTATTTAATGTTCTTTATTGTAAGGTTCTTTTACTTTAATTCAAGTTTGTTTGTCTTTAAAGTTTATCTTTATCCTGTCTACACACAGACATTCATAGTCACTTCACATATATATTTTTTTTAAACGTGTTTGCACATAATTGCTCCCGAGATTTTTCGAGTTAATCTCACAGACTTTTAAACTCGTGAATGTTGGCTAAAAACATATGTGACACAAAGACCGTGATTATTTTCCAATGGTTAATTAACATCATTGAATAATGAAGTAGGCAAAGCGAGGATGAACGTCAAACCGCTATATATCTCTATGTACTTGTTTTTTCTTCCCTTATCTCTTTTATTTTACTAGCACTCATTAATATCGCTATTGCATTATTACATTTAATGTAACATAAATTAGACTATGTTTATAGAGATTTAATGTTAAGCCTAGGTCTCTGGTGCATCATTCTTGTATAATTATCATAAATCCAATTATGGTTTGATAGAATGACTATTGAAGAGTTTTCAAATCGCTTTGTTTAAAGTGGTTTTGGTTGTCTTGTGATTGACTTGCATTAGAAGCAATCAAAAACTTAGTAATAGCTTGTGTTTTGTTTTCGCGCTTCTTAAAATCTCTGATTTCACTTATAGGACCTAAAATGTTTTTATTGGTAAGTGATACTTTACGGTAATAGTTCCTCGGTAATTTTCTTTCTGTCACAATAGTGCATATATGTATAAAAAACTCAAGACAAGAAACAACTCTTAAAAGAATTTTTAATACTGATTCATTCAACAAATATATAGTGCATATATGTATAAAATTACTTAAGACAAGAAACAACTTTTCGAAGAATTTTTAATACTGATTCATTCAACTAATATATAACTTTAACGTTAACACAATGATTCATATCAGCAAACGGTGCAACGGTTGAACTTGCACCAGCAACGGTTGAATTGCAGTACACGAGAGATTAAAGAGGTACAAAGTTGCGAGTGAGAAGAAAACAAGTGAAAAGAAGCCATTCATGTAAAAGAGAAGATTAGAGACTAATTTTGAATTTTACTCTAAAAATTTGTACAAAATACATCTAAATAAGTTACGATCTATAAAGCACAGACTCAGATATGAAAACATACCAAAAGTGATTTGTCAACATCAGTAATTTCAGAAGTGTCGGTACTACTAGAGTTATGATACTATATAACTTGCTTATTTAGAAATAGTATAAATTTAATCTAGTGACTTCTCAAACTAAGCACTTCACATGTCCTGTTTTTGGCCTGTTCCAACAGTCCACATGCACTGCAAATATATCTCTGGCCATATGACAGAATCAGGTAACTGAAAAAAATATTATTATACATCAACAATGTGACAAGTCAAACTTCCTCACACAGGTTTTTAAGCAAGTTATACATTATAGTACATATAAATAAGTGCTTCTACAACAAAACAATACTAATACTTTATAACAACAATTACACTTCTTTAACTGATTTGAAATTCTCCACTTGCATGAACCTCTTTGACCCGTTTGTCATACTCATCTTCTTCATCTTCCTCTTCCTCCACCTCTTCTTCTTCCACTTCTTCTTCTTCTTCCTCGCCTTCCCAGCCAAAGCCTTTGACCGGCCTAGATACCGGAGGAGGCTCTCTCGCCTCTCCCACAATTTTATTTATCTCGTCCACACTTTGAATAGAAAAACTTGGATTGCCTCTCTGATAGTACGCAGCTTGAGCGGACTCAGTTAGCTCCCTTGGAAGATTCTTTAAAAACCACGGATGGGTTTTGATTTCTCGAAGAGAAATTCTCTGTCAACAAGGAGAATAATAAGGTCTCGTTAGTTAGCTCGATAAGGAATGGATTTGTTATGATTGATTTATTTTAGCATAAGAACTTTCAAGATTTTTTGGAAAAATATTTGAACTTAACTGTTAGCATAAAATTTTGAAACTTTTCGAAAAAACTTATGAAAACATCTTATGATATGTCTCAAAAGCTCAGGAATAGTTTATAGACACAACTTATAACAATATACATCCAAATTATAACAATAGAAATATAAAATAAAATACGTAAAGATCATAACATACCTTTAATGGATTTGCAACAAATATACGAGATAGAAGGTGTTTGCAATCTTGAGATATATGAACATAATCGGGGATTTTGTATTGGACAGCCATTATGCGCTGCAGAAGAGGAAATGAAATGTGAATAAGATGTTGAGAAAAATAACATGCAATAATACGAATATGAGTATTGTAAACAGGACCGTCTTTGAGGGCGTGCTAGGCAGGCTACCAGAGGGTCTCAGATTTGTCACAGTTAAATAGGATTAAACTGTGGTTGAATAGGGGCTCTATTTTTACTCCATAGATAAAACCACGACTAATTTTACACCGGGCCTCCAAAAACATGAGACGGTTACGGGAGGAATAACATACCTGAATTGTTTTCCTAAAATTTCTAGGGTCATCTTGATCCTCAAAGGGATATGCTCCAACCAGCATGACATACAGGGTCACTCCGCACGACCACACATCAGCCAACTAAACCATTTTCAGAATACAACATTAGGTTCTATAGATGCATTTAAAAGACTTTTCCGATAGCATGATTAGAGAAAAATAGATGCTAACAGGAAGAAGCAGAACTGGTCCTGCAAAAGAGTACATACCTTGCCATCATACTCCCTCCTAGAAAGAACCTCCGGTGCTATATAAGCCGGAGTTCCAACAGTCGATTTGGGTCGGGAATGAAGCAAAGATGACTACACCACAAACAAGAAACACTTCAGAGATAGACACAAAAGTAGCTATCGTCAACACTCAAAACTTTAGAACTCGATAGTAATCATTCATTACAGTAGTACCTTGGAATAACCGAAGTCACAAATTTTCAAGCGAGGCGCAGGGCTTCCATCTAAAAGTGTATTTTCCAGCTTCAAATCTCTATGACATATTTGCTGAAAACGAGAGTAAAAACTTATAGACTCTTCTCACTTTGTATATTTTCGAGTACGCAAAGTCCTAAACAAAATATTCAAAAATCGTGCAGGATAATACTACCAACCATAGCATGACAGTAATGAACACCAGATATCAACTGCTGAAAGAAATATCTAGCCTGAAAAATCACATCATAAAACAAATTAGATGCGAAAAACCGTGAAATGAAGCTGAAAATTCAGCAAACCCGTCAAGTTCTTAACCTCGTCTTCGCTAAACCGTCCAGCATTACATATCCTCTCAAAGAGTTCACCTCCAGCTGCATACTCCATCACTATAGCTAAATGAGTAGGAGTCAAAACCACCTGAACAATCATAACCCCATTGAAGTAACAGTTAACATCTCTCAATCAACTAACAGTAAACTCAATACAAACAGATCCAATCCAAACGATGAACAAACAAATAAAGTCCTTGCCTCCTTAAACCGAATTATATTCGGGTGCCGAAGAGACCTATGGTTGATAATCTCTCTTGCCACATTCTCATCAATCTGCAATTACAGAAGCATAAAAAACTTATAATCCCAGATGTCAAAATAATAGCTTTTCAAAACCATTTAGCATAAATCCAAACAACAGAACAGAATTCTAATCAGTAATCACAAATCAAACTTCCAAACTCAAAAGCCATACAATAATTATCCCAAATGCAAAACTTCAGAAGCATAAATCTGAAACTTTTTATCAATAAAAACAGATCAATCAGACACAAAAGTATTAAAAAAAACATCACCTTGTGGCCACGCTCGATGTACTTCATAGCAACAAGCTCCTTAGTCTCCTTGTTCCTCAGAAGCCTCGCCACTCCAAAATTCCCAACTCCCAAATCCTTAACAACCTCGTACCTCTCCATAACCAAATCCTCCACTCTCACAAAAACAACACTACTACTACTACTACTACCAGTAAATGGTAGTGAATGATGAAAAAGATTCAAACTTTAAACTCAAACTGAAACAAGCATGCAAGTTATTCTAGAATCACAGCACTATTTTTTCCTCTAATCAAAAGGGTATCGAAAAAAACGTATCTTTCACTGAAAAACCGGTTCTATCACACCATATATATATAAATAAAATATTTTCCAAATATTGGAAGATAAAAAAATATTTAATTTATCTAGAATTTGAGAACACGTGGGAGTGTGTGAGAGAAATCATTAAAAAACATTATGGTATGGTGTTAGATCCAAATTCAAAGACACAGTTTTCGTTTTTTGGATTGATTAAGTTTAATCTTTTTCATTTTGGGTGGGTTTTGATGCAAATAATGAATTGGATTGAATCTCTTGCTAAAGGAGTAAAGGGGACACTTTTTTCTTCATTCTTCAATCAATCTCATTGTCGTTTTCCTAAGTTATCTTCTTCCACTTTTCGTTTTTTGTTTTTATTTTACTAAAATTGCGGTTTTTTCTTATTACTACTTGCCAACAACTATTAATTATATATACAGGTTTGCTATTCCTACACCCTTTCTTACACCTTACACCCAATTTACTGTTCATAAATATATGAAAAAAATGCTCAGAACATGGTTAATGGTATGTATTTTATTGGTTAATGAAGTAGTGAAAGTGGTTAATAAATTATAGGTGAAATAATTGGTTAATGATGTAGATTTTTGTGGTTAATGCAACTGTGAAGTTGGTTAATGCGTAATCTTATATTTGTGTTATAAAATAAATTTTAAAAATAAATATTTTTTTTAAAAAAAAATTAATATTTTAAAAAAATATATTATTTTAATAAAAAAAACACTGTTCACCGTATAAATACGGTGAACAGTGCATACGGTGTATGTATGGGGTGTAAGAAATGGTGTCAAAATAGCATTTTTCTTATATATATTATTGTTTAGTTAAATATTGATAAAATATATAATATTTTTTATTAAATAATTAATTAAAATATAAGACTTATTTTTTTAGAGATCGATTATTATACAACTCGTGTAAAACGCTTTATCTTATCACTATATCACAAACATCTGATTGTGTTATTTTTAAAATATTCAAATTAAAGTTAAATCTTTTAAATAAATTTACGTATTTAAAAGACAATTTAAAAAATCTTTATACTATCTATATATATCTATTAAATTTAAAATACTACATATCAATTAAATTCTTAAATTTTATAAAATAATTTAATAATTTAATGAAATTATGGTTATGATCGAAACTTGTTAATAATACTTGTGTAAAAATTGTTAAGTTTAATTTTTTCAGATTAGATGTATTGGTTTGAGTATTTATTTTATAACTTATCTAAAAATATTTATATATTTATTTATGTAAAATTAACAAATATTTATACTGGATTATATATATATATATATATATATATATATATATATATATATATATATATATATATATATATATATATATATATATATATATATATATATATATATATATATATATATATATATATATATATATATATATATATATATATATATATATATATATATATATATATATATATATATATATATATATATATATATATATATATATATATATATATATATATATATATATATATATATATATATATATATATATATATATATATATATGAGTTATATGTTTTTTATATTAATCAATAATAAATATTATTTCACACTTTATATATATCATTTATAAATATTATATATTCTTTATATTTATTAATAAAAAGTTTTGTCTATATTTTTTAATGTATTTATCAAAACTATTTGTTAAAATTATCTTATGAATATCAATAAAAGTATTTACTGTGTATTTCTTTATACTAATCAATGTCAAATAGTTTTCTAAAATATATTAATGCTCTTTTAATTTTATAAAATATGTTATTATATTAATTATAATTTTATAAATATTTATCAACATATATTAATATTTTTATTTTTATTTAAAAAGTTATAAATTTAGTTAATTTATTGATAATAAAACATTTTCAAAATCTCACAAATGAATAATACTTTTTAATAAGAATTGAGATAATCTTTCAACTTAATTAAACTATATTTTAATATAATTGGATTTAGAGTTGGATTGGGAGGTGAAGATGCCTCCTTTCTTATAGAGTAAAACTATATCTCAAGAATGATTTAGAGTTGGACTGTGAGCTTTCCGGTGGTTTTCTAGCAGAGATTTTGGGTTCTGTACCAGGGGAGCTTTTCCCCGAGCATGTCAGGGGGATTGTCCCGAGCATCTCCTTGTATAGTGATTGTGTCATTTGAGTAAGGCTTAGGTTGAAGACGTTGTCCTTGGGCCTTCACACGCCCCTTCACTTGACTAGCATTGGAAGGGTGAATTTGATCCTGTCATCAAATTCACTTTTATCATCTACTTTTCAGGTAAAGGAGATGTCGCACGAAGCTGAAGAAGAGACCTTGAGAAATTTGTCTGAGGAAAGCTCCTTAAAAGACACTGAGACCGATGACACTTCCACGCCTCAGGATGCTGGGAAAGTGCCCGTTTCGAGGACCACCACCGAGGAATGGTCTGTGGCCGAGCTAGGGGAGCATGCCTCCCTTTTCGCCTCTTACACTATGAGTGTCTTCACAACGGTGGGGGCCGAAGGAGATTGGAAGGTCCACTTCCCTAGAGAAGACGACCGTATCTGCTCGCCATACGGGGAAAGGTTCCCTATGTACGAATACGTTTTCAAAGAGATAGGATTGAGGTTGCCCTTTTTAGATTTTCAGAGGACAGTCTTTGTGCACTTAGACCTGGTGCCTTCGTAGCTGCATCAGAACTCGATTGCCTTTATACGGGAATTTGAGTTGGTATGTGAGTATTTGGAGATTAGAGCTACTCTCCCCTCTTCTTCATTGTCTTCCACCTCCAGCGAAAGGTCTCAAGAAGGAAAGTTGGTTGGGCCTCCCTAAAGCAGGGGAGAAAGTTGTTCAAAAAATTTTCTAAGTCCATCAAGACTTTGAAAGAAATGTTCTACGTTATTGAGCCCGTGTCGGAGAAGGCCACCTACTCAACTTTTGTCTAGGAGGTCTCAATAGATGAAGACGGGGAAGACTTGTTAGACGAGCATGGTAAGATGATTGCGTTGAGGTTGTTCAAGTTTCCTTTTTGCTGGAGCGGACCCCATTTTACCCGCTCAACCGACGAATACATCGCCATTCCTCATCAGCTGGGGGATGATGACCGAGCCAACTATGCCAAGCTGATGGCTTTTATGGACGACTTTCTCTCTACCCAGTGCATGACCCATGTTGGGAAGATTATTTACGAGGAAGACGGGGGACCTCAGGTGGAGGCCCGATACATTAACACGAAAGAACTCCTCGAGTGTAGCACTCGTTTGGGGGCTTTAGAACTTCTGGGTAGTCTTTTATTTCCTTAGTTTATCTGAGTTCTTGCTTTCTTCGTGTCCTAACGTGTTTGTTGTTTTGCAGATAATATGTCTTCTGCTTAGGAGTGAATGATGAAAAACGCTCAGGGGAAAATGAAGGGAGGTGTGACAATAGGGAAGAGTCGTCTCAGCCAGCAAGCGCCTCCTCCTCATAACGGGTCGGGGACCTCCTCGTCCACCCCACCATCTGTCCAGTCGTCGCCCCTACCCATGAGCTCGAGGCTTAAACGCCCATGCATAAATGAGTTTGTGGATCTTGTCACACCCTAATTTTTGACCTTAAGATCCCACATCTGCTTTGTTTTTGCTGTTGTTTGCATATTTTGTCCTAACCCACCTGTGCAGGCATTTTGAAGTCATGAGGAGGCCATTTTTTAATTCTTATTCAGGATGAGCTTAAAGTCTCAATTTGAGCTGGACCATGTTTATCAACACCATGAAAGCTCTTCGAAGTTGCAAGCCTACCATGCAAACTTAGATCCAAAAGGGCAAAGACTTATTTGCATTAGAATCTAATTCAAAGCCAAAGAGAGTCAACGCCAGAAGCTTTAGAGTCAACAGCTCCCAGAAGCAAGCTCCCAGAAGCACGCTCCCAGAAGCAAGTTTCCAGAAGCAAGCTCCCAGAAGCAAGTTCCCAGAAGCACGCTCCCAGAAGCATGCTCCCAGAAGAAAGTTTCCAGAAGCAAGCTCCCAGAAGCACGCTCCCAGAAGCAAGTTTCCAGAAGCACGCTCCCAGAAGCAAGTTTCCAGAAGCAGCTCCAGAAGCATTTCTTCAGAAGAAACTTCAGAGTCAGCAGCTCCAGAAGCAACTTCAGAAGCAAGCTCCCAGAAGCAACTTCAGAGTCACGCTTCATCAGAGTCATTCTTCGTCAGAAGCAGCTCCAGAGGCAAGCCTTCAGAAGCAGCTCCATAAGCATTTCTTCAGAAATAGCCCCATAAGCATTTTTTTCAGAAGCAGCGTCCACAACGTCAGATCTAGCTCAAACAACAGAAATTTAAAACTTTCCAAAATTGGAGCCAGCATGCTCTTCATAAGATCAGACCAAATAGGAAAGAATTGAAGTGATTTCCCAATCTCGGCGAACATGCTCTCGACAAGAATCATTCAAAAAGGAAAGTTTTTAAAGCCATATTCATTGGAGGCCCATCCATTCCCCTATAAAAGCATGTGGGATTTCTAAGATCAACACACAAGAAGATCACCAACAACACACGAGAAATCTTGCACAAGTGGAAACTCTGCCACAATTTCCACGGGAAAAACCTTCCACCCCCAAGGAAAATTGAAGATCTCGCTGCCGGAGCACCAAAGCCATCATCACCTGTCGTCGCTGCTCTCAAGCCTCTGCTGGTTCCTTTTGGGTAAAATTCTTTGTCAAATTCTTTTTGCGTATTTGATCCTCTTGATGTTGTGCAGGTTGATGAGCGAAGGAGATGAAGAATGGGAGGAGAAGAAGTAGCAGAAGAAGGAAAGGGGGGGATAAAAGTTGTA